CCAAAAACACAAAAGGGACTTGAACATAAGATTATCGCGAGCATTAAACTCAGTACACACAGACAACATGTCCCAAATGCCCCAAGTTTCGCCATTTCACCCCAAATAAAGGAGCTAATCTAGCCTTCCAAGATTTAAATTCTGAAATACCACTAGGGAGACGAAATATACGGGAAGGGAAAACGTTAAGATCGAACCAAGATTGGGCTAGCAAGAGCTTACCCCCGCCGAGGGCGTCGAAGGAACCCTCAGGCAACTCTTCTCGATCTTTCGCGAAGGGCGCAAGCCCGAATCGAGTCTTGCTGGACGACGGGGTCGCCCTCTCGAAGCACGTCGGGGGAGGATGACCAGCCTGGGGGTCCGATTTCGGCCTAGATATCGGAGCTCCCCCCGTGGTGAGAAAACCGCCGAGGACTCTTGAAGTTTTTCCCCGCCGTTGGTCGCCTAGATCGCCGAGAACGTTGCCGGACCGCCTCACCGGAGTAGGCACGGGAACCACCGTGTTTCGTCTGGGGAAAGGAATAAGCGAACTCGCCGATGACGAGGTGGAGCTGAAATGAAGAGAGAAGAAGGCGAGGGTTTTCTTTCGTGAGTGGAAAAGGGGGATGGGAGAGAGGCTATTGCATATTGGGAGACATGAACATAAGGGTGAAAGACTGGCACTGACACAATTAAGCGCGCGCAGACCCAGATTCGTAAGGTGAGGATTTTACAAAATTATTTGGATACCAAGTTAATTGTACCCAAAATAATTTTGTGGGGGGCATTTGTACACTTCAAAAGTTAACCGAGCCGGCCCAAGCAGGTGTAGCCCAAGTCCCGGGTAGATCCGGCCCAGAAGAATGTCCAGATCAATAAATAGGCCCGTGGTCAACAAGTAAATAGATAAAACATAATTGAAAATAAAAGGAAGTTGAGGAGGTTAGAGAAAAAGAAGAGATGAGAGCCTTATCCGAGCAAAGTTAGGGAAATAAAAGCCTAAGGAGGCTGGGACGCCAAAGACATCAATCATCTTCTTTCTGCATTAGTTTTTCCTCTGCAAATTTAAATTCCTGCATTGTTTTCAAACCTTTACAGTTTTCTCACGTTAATTCCAATTTAATTTTCAACTAATTTCTGTTTTACCTTTTTCTTTCTTCGTCAAATTTTTCGGTTATCGCGATATAGCCCGGATCCTTTTTTGAGGAGGCCGGAGAACCCTACGATTAAATCAATTTCGACAGACTTTTCCGATTAAACCGTCGATTACGATTTTTTTACGACAATAAGTATGAACCAAATACACTATTACAATTTTAATATTATCTCAGCCTCCCCATCCTCCTGTTAAAATCTCTTCCCTCCCTTCATTTGAATCAAACATATTAGAGGAGAATTAAAATAAGCTTATTTTTTTCCTCCTAAAAAAAAGTAAATAAATAAAACCAAGATAATTATAATTTTTTTATTTCCCTCTCCTCATTTCTTCTCCATGCTCATCAAACCAAACAGATCCTCAGGATTTTATATATATATATATAATTAATTTATATTAATAACAAATAAATTATATTTATTTGTATTATATAAATTTATAATTTAGAAAATAATATTTATATTATATAGTATATTTTATTGATATATAGTATTTAAAAAATTTAAACACTTTTAAATTTTATTTCCATAATATATATTATTATTAATTTTTATTTTAAAAATACTAATTTTTATTTTAAAAATACTAACGACATTATTTATATAAAAATAATAATAAAATAATATTATAATTAATTATTAATTTACTAATTTCATTATTTTAAATAATAGATCGTTAATAAAATAAATTCCGAAAATAATAGTACTACTTTATTATAAAAAAATATTAAAAAAATCGTATAGATTTAATAATTATTATATCTTTTTTATTTTACATAAAAAAAAAAAAAAAAAACCAACCTTATACTTCTTGAAAATAAGAAATATATAAAAATTATAAGTAACAAAAATATGAGGTTAAATTGCACAAAATTCATCTGTGATTTTACTAAATTACCCTAAATTCTTCATACTTTTAAAACTACGTCGAACTCCTTCGTGTTCTCATAAACTCTATGTCTAACCCCGCGACGGTCCTTATTTAATGGTATTTTGACCTAAATGCGCCCAAAGTGCGAATAAATTTTAGCATCTCAATTTCTAAATCACTAAAATTACGACTATATTTATTTTTCTTATATTTAATTAAAAAACAGTAAAAATAAATTCTTAAAATCTGAAAAAAAAAAAAAAAAAATAACTATTTTTTTAGGCTAAATATAAGAAAAATAAATATATCTGTAATTTTAGGACTAAAATTTATACAAAGTTTGAGCGCAAAATAAGGACTGTCGAAGGGGTTAGACGTAGAGCTTATGAAACTACGAAGGAGTTTGACGAAGGAGATTTAGTCCAATTTCATGAAACGGTATGTTTTGTGCAAGAAGGAGTTTGACGAAGGAGATTTAGTCCTAATTCATGAAACGGTATGTTTTGTGCAATGTAACCAAAAAATATAAAAAAAAAAAAAAGAAAAAACAAATTCCCTACATCACAATATACTTTCTTGTTCAGTCCCTGTATACTATTTTATTCCTAGTAACTCCCTGCTCATTCCTATTACTCCATAAATTTAACTTTAAAATTTCTATTATACCCTTTATATATCTTTTTATTTACTAGATTACCATACTCTCACATGAACCCCTTAAATTACTTTATTTGTTCAAATAATTATTCTGCTCGAATTTAATTTTTTTATATATCAAATGATAGATGATAAAAACTTTTTTTTAATTTTCACCAATGAAAATTGAAAATTACAAGTGTAAGAGTTGAAAACTTTTCTCTCAACTGATTTATCATCAATTTCAAATTACATCAAATAACAAATTTACCTCAACTACCAATGCAAGCATCAACACCAACTCAAATCACCATAACCACGGTTGCCCACAAACATCACACATCGAGATCGAACCAACACCCAAATGACTATGTTGATTTATGTTTACATCTAGGTAAAAAATTAATTTTAGTTTTGAGAGTATTAGTTATATTTGCATTTTTTATAAAAACGTATATAAATTTACAAGAGTTATGTCGAAAGAATATATAAAATCGAAATAAGGTTATGATGTTGTTTATACTTTTCGAATTTATTTTTAATACTTTACTGTAGAACAGTTAGTACTTTTACAGGGTATTTGAGATACCTATTTTTGTCTTATACAAACTTTAGTCAGTCGAAACAAATAGTTTTTATAAATATTTTACATTATAATTCAAGTATTGCACTTATTTTTTAAAATTTTTTATCAATATTGTATCGAATCAAATGATTTATTATCGAACGATGATTTCAAAATTGATCACCACAACTGTTGTGCCATAAGACCCTATGGATAAATTAATATTTGTAAATTTATATTGAGAATAAACGCAAATAAACTTACAAATATTATATGGGAAATATATATCATCACAACGATGAATTGCATAGAGTCGAAAGAAGGTTATTGTTTCATTTGTACTTTAACACGAGAAAAACATACTTTTTAATACAAAATTTGTACTTTTCGAATTTATTTTTTATACTTTATTGTTGAACAATCAATACTTTTGTAAGGTGTTTGAAATAAATATTTTTCGCCTTACATGGATTTAAGTTACTCTAAACCAATATTGTTTATAGATGTTTTGTAATGCAATTTAAGTATTGCATTATTTATTTTAAGAATTTTATTCATTATTGTATCAAATCAAGTGAGTTATTGTCGGACGATGCTTTCAAAATTGAACGCCACACCTTTTTTACTTCAAAGATACTAGTGTTTACTTGATTCTTATTTTCTACTATTTTTAAATACACCTCAATTGATGAATGAAAGTTTGTAAGCAACATCGACAATAAACACAAATGGAATTATATGGGTTTGTCAAAAAAAATATATCATCGCAACGGTGAATTGCATCGAGTCTAAAGAATGGGTTTACGGTGTCATATTTACTTTTCATATGTGAAAAAATTACTTTTTAAAAAACAAAGTTTTGTACTTTTTAAATTTATTTTAATATTTTATTGTTGAACAATCGATACTTTTATATAGTGTTTGAAATAAATATTTTTCGTCTTACATGAATTTTAGTTGGTCGAGACCAATAATTTTTTATAAATATTTTGTATTGTGATTTAAATATTGTTGTTATTTTAAAAAATTATAAAGGTTATGTTTAAACAAAATGCTACCGCAACAGTGAATTTCATTGAATTGAAATGAAGCTTATTTATTTTCCATATGAAAAAAATATATTTTTGTTTTAAAAAAATTTGTACTTTCTGAATTAAACCATAATAAATTAATTATCGCAAATACCATTACCAAATAAAATACATCACTCTCAATAAATTAAATAGACAATAGTTACATTGTTATAAAATTTAGTTATTTAATGCATAAGCCCAAAAATAAAATAATAATTAACAATTAAGTTAAAAAAATCTAACCCATAAAATTTATAAATAAATATATTTGTATAATTTAGAGATTAGGTTTATAGAAATTTTTATTATCAGATATTGTAGTTGTTCTAGTTGTTGTTTCTGTCGCCAGTGATATTTTTTCGTTTATGATGATTAATTTTTTTATTAATTGTTTTTATTTTTTACCATAAAAAATGTAAAATAAAATTAAAAATTAATTTTATGAAATTGGAGAGATTGATGAAAAAATGAATAAAATAAATAAAAATATTATGGTCTTTTTAAATAGGTAGGGAGTGAAAAAGAAGAAAATTATAAAAATAAAGAGTAAAGAAGAAAATATTTATATTTAGGAGTAAATAAGAATTGTAATAAGAAATAGGAATTTTATTGGAAGTTGCCTATTTAATTTTGATTTTTTAATTAAAAATGATTATTTTATATAATACTCCGTAGATATATATATATATATATATAATAATTAAACGAGATTGAGCGGTGGAATAGTTTTTGAATGAAACTCGCTAATCTGATAAATGCGCTTTTAGCAGTTGGAACCATCTATCGCATCTAGTCCCGGCCGTCTGCGTGCTTCGTGAGAAAGATTCCGATGGAGAAACCGCCGCCCGACTGGCGGAGCAACAGAGCGGCTGTGCAAGCCACCAACGACGACGCCTCTGCTAGCAAGCTGTATGCTATTTTTCTTTCTGTATAGCAACTATATGTGCCCTAGTCCTTCAGATCAAATCGATGTTTTACATGAAATCAATTCTTTGTATGAACGGTCTATCATCAATCTAATAATAATAATAAAAATTGTACATCAACCATAGGTGTAGCGATGGAAAAATTCAGGGGCGACTGTAGCGGTGCCCAAAAATTTCATGGCGATTGCCTGGGCGTTCTGTGTTTTGAGTATCATTTCCTGTAGGAATTGATATCTCTGATTGAATTTGGGTGTTGGCTGTTCTGTGTAATTCTCTGGGATCTTACATGAGCTTGAAAGTGTGTAATTTCTTCTGTTTATGGCATGAAATATATCTGAAGTGATTCTTTAGAGATGCCCTTGCCTACTTATGCACCAATGAAAACTTCCATGCTTAAACTACTTAATAAGAACGATACTTGAATCCCATGTTTGTCATGATGGTTATGGATTTCAAACTGTTGTGATTTTCAATATGTAGATCTTTGACAGAAATCTAATGCGGCGGCAAGTAGAACTATTTCTATGTTAGTATTTCTTACTGATTGTTTGTGTTTCTTTTGGAAGGTCTTGCGTTAAGAAAGGGTACATGAAAGATGATTACATTCATTTGTTTGTTAAAAGGCCCGTGAGGAGATCGCCAATAATTAATCGCGGTATGCTTTTGAGCTTTTTCTATGATTTCCACAACCATTTTTTTTTTCTTAAAATCTTGTAGCATGTATGATTCACATCATTTTCTAATTTTGTTTTGGCTTATGATGTTGAAAGGGTATTTTGTTCGGTATGCGGCACTTAGGAAGCTTCTTTATGAGTTTCTTGACTATGAGGTAAACATTGATGGCAAAGGCAACAAGAAGCAAATATTATCTCTTGGAGCTGGCTATGATACTACATTTTTTCAATTGCAGGTGATTGAGTTCTCATTATAGATATTAATTTTATATTTGATATTTTTTTGTTACGAGCGAGTTTAATATAGTAGCAACGGGGGTTGGGAAGGGGATCCCCTACCCCCAGCCTCCACCACATTACCAATCCAATCACTTCACCCAGTTACCCTTGATAAGTCCTACTGGAGAATAAATCGATGTAATTTATTTTAATAATATAAAAGATCTGTTCTCTATATTTTATTATAGAGTAGTAAATATTCAGCATATTGGTTAATTTTTTAACATAATAAATATGACTTGTGCCACATCTCTTCCCATGGATGGATGCCAACAGTTATGTGTTCCCATTGCCGTTGCTAGACTCTTAACCGTTGTTTTGCTACTTGAGACAGCAACTTATGGTTCCTGTGTTTAATTTTATGGCTCTGCTTGTTTTGTTCTTAATATCTCTGTCACTTAGACATAATTGGAATCGAAGTTGCAGGCCGTTGGATGATCTGTTTCTAATTTTTCACAGGATGAAGGGAAAGCTCCTTATCTCTATGTTGAATTAGATTTCAAAGAGGTAAATGATTTTCTTTATTTTATATTTTTTCTCAACTCACCACCTTGCTCCAGTGTTTTCTCATTTTGTAGGTACACATTACATATATTATTGAAAAGACAATATTTGACCCCTTAACTCCTATATTACTATTACTTTTTGTCGCTATCATAAATGTGATAAAGTCTGCATTCATGGAAATTTTGATTGTTCTGTTTTTGTTCTCTCTCTGAATTTCTATTTTCACTTATTAGGTAACAAGTAGGAAAGCTGCCCTTATTGAAAGCTCCATTCAATTGAGGAGCAAAGTTGGGGAAACCGCATCAATATCACAGGGTAAAAATGACTGCTGCTGATTCTAACATTCAGATTTTGAAACTCTTATTTTACGTTCTTTTATTCAGATCACCATATTTTGTGTTTTTCTTATACTGGTAGACAGTTTTTACCTTTTCTTGACCTAGGAATGTCCGCTCGTGTTTGTAGAAAATGACAAAACAAAAACATTATGTTATACACCTTTGGATGGCTGCAAATTCTATACCATTTCATAATGATTTGTCGAAGTTGTTTGTAGTGACCATGGTCTCCTCAAGTATAACAATACAAAATCTGAATTTACCTGAATTAGCTAATTTTATACTATAATTTACTAGCATATCTTTTAGGATTCTGGAACAGCAATGCTACGTTATTTGCTTGATTTAGGTAATTTGCATAGTTTTTGCACTGCCTGATCAAATCATATGTGATTCTTAGGATACTGTCTAAGAAAATGATATCCGGCTGCAATGTTACAAAAATATGCATGCTGTTTTAATAGGGACCATGATCTATGGTTTGTGACAGTGACCTTTCTGCACATCTTAAGCACATGGCCTTTGGTTGGGCATAAATTTGGGTGTCTATAGTGTACGTTTCTGTTAAACTGAGTTATAATGAATTGTGAAAGAATTATATACATTTGATTTAATATATACATACATATATATAATATTTAATGTAATGCTTTGATAATGTGATAAGTATAGGAGTGGTGACCAGTTTTACTGTTTAAATAAATATAATATAAATAAATTTGTTGAAGTTAAGTAGTGGATGACAATTGAATTTTTTTGTTTTATTTTTTTTTTTGTTTTTAATTTTTAAATAGTTGTATCTTGAGAGGAAAGAAAACAAAAATTGGAATGAATTTATGCTTTATGGGATAAGTGTTTTGATAAATTTGGATTGGCAAGTTCACTACCAAACATGATGTTATATGTTCTAGGTTCATCTCAGGAAGGGTTTGTTTATAAATTTGTTGAATTTAAATAGTGGATGACAATTGAATATATTTATTTATTTATTTTTATTTTAAAATAGTTTTATCTTGAGAGGGAAAAAAAATGGCAATGAATTTATGTTCTATGGCATAAGTGTGTTGCTAAATTTGGATTGGCAAGTTCACTACCAAACATGATGTTAAATGTTCTAGGTTCATCTATGGAAGCGTTTATGTCATAGTTTATGTAGGCTATGTTACAACTATTTTATAGGAGTGCAACATGATCTTTCATGCTACATAGATTGTTGATGTTGGAAAATTTCTGCTGCTCTCTACGCAGTATTGTGATAAGTAATTATTGTGCCAACCTTGAAATTATTCAGAGAAAGGGGAAGTGCTTGGCTCACACTACAAACTTCTCCCTGTTGATCTGCGTGACACACAACAACTTGATGATATCATTTCTCAGGCAAATATAGATCCAAGGTATGTATAAATTGATTCGATTAGTTATTTATCTTGAAAGGATGGGTGACTGAAATTCACCTACTTAAAGATCTGGATTTTGCTTCTTACTTTGACTGTGCTTTTGTTGTATGACTAGTGTTGGATATGTATTATTTATTGCTCCCGAGATGCTTCTTTCATTACTACTTTTTTTTCTCTTTGACCTCATTCAATCCCTTTAGTTATTTGTATGTTGTAAACTTCTCACATGATCTTACAAAGACTAGAAATTCATGCGTAAAGCGGAGTAGCATACCTAGACTCAAATCAAATCTGTGTGTTCTCTATCACTACTTTTTCCATATGGTTTATAACAATTTATTTCAATCTTATTGAAACTGTTGATTAATATTCGTACCCATGTTTGTATACTTTGTTTGAACATTTACCAAATTGTATTACTACTTTCTTTGTATTTTTTCAACTAATTGGATCATTTCATTTTAAGTCTTTTCCCAGTATAGGTGTTTGTTTTTTGTGCTTTACTGCTAATTTCACTTTCTTCACACTAATCCCTTTTTATGTCTTGTATTTGATTGAGTTTTGCTGTGTTCTAATGCTTTTATCAGTTTGCCAACATTTATAATTGCAGAATGTGTGCTTATATACCTAGATTCCAAGTCAAGCTGTGCTGTAGTTGGGTGGGCTTCTAAAACGTTTCCAACAGCTATATTTTTTTTGTATGAACAGGTGCTGTGGCTTCTGACTTTTATTGTTGAATTAGTTTGTGAGGTCTTTCCGAATCTGTTCCAAAATTTTTATTGTTTCATTAATATTCATTGCATTTGATTGGTTGCATTTTCTAACAAGACACACACACACACTAACCAAAATTCAATCATTATCCATATTACATCTAACTATTTTGTGGAAATATTTATATATTACACATGATTTGTATCACCTATATCATGGATTTAATCAAATACCCTCAAAAGACTTCCAGATAATCTGATATATATACGCCCAAAAATATTTACCAATTCCCAGAAATGCATAAAAATCACACACACAGTATTTTATCCCAACGAAAGGAAGAACCTAAAAAGGCAATGTTGTCTTGGTTGCTCAATTTAATGACACTGGAAATGATTATATGTTTCTAATGCTACCAGATTCGGCCAGATGATGCATTTGGGCAACAGATGATCAGAAATCTGGAGGTACATCCTATTTAATTCGTCCTTCTCCTGTTCATTCTGAACAGCATGTCTTGGTTTTCTTTCTATCTGCCATTAAATTTTCCCACTCATTATAGAGATGAGATCATTGATAAGAAGATGAGATGAATGATGATATGATTAGTTTGAATTGTAAAGATTTCATTTTAATTATGTAGAAGCTCATGGCCTGCCATTCTAATCCATTTCGTAAGCTTTCCTCAAAAATTTCCAGAATGCCATTCTGGCATAAAAAAAAAAAAAAAAAAAAAAAGAAACAAAAATTCTCATAATGAATCTGAAATTGGGAATAAGAATCTGTACTTTTTTACGGGAGTATGTGAGTGAATGGTGGAAAGAAAGAACAATATGACTGGAGTGTAGTGGATGGTCGGTAGAACATTGAGACTTTCACAATTTTTGCAGGAAACAACTTCTGTTACAATCAGAAGATTTTGTTATGTTTATGGTGGAAAGTGATCTATTACTATAAATTTCAGTATTTAAATCTAAATGTTATTCTACCCACCCAATTCAAATGGTGAACACAACGCAACCATCAGAAAATTCCTTTGGTTATTTTAAGCTTGAACACAACCACACTCAGGATTGAGTACCTCATACGTATTAATTGGCACTGAAAACTTTACATTTTCATTAATGTTTACTGAAATTCTTATTCATTCCTTCATTCCTCTACGTACATTTGTGCTTGAGTGCAATTCCTGTGCTTCGATTTCTTGCTGGTGTTAGCTCAAACATTCTAGATGGACTGCAGTTTCTTCAAGCCCGTTCCTTCCATCACATTTATTTTAGTGATCCAATTTTGCTATAATAGGATCTCCCCCCATTCCAAATCGGACGTGAAAGTTTCCTGTCAAGCTAGCTATATGTTGTGTATTGTCGAATGTATTCTCTTTAAGACTAGTTTTGCCAGAGTGAAGCTGGTGGTCCCCCTCTCATATGTCTAATGGATGATTCAAATGAATATTAATGAGATCTTCTGTGGAAAAATGATATCTCTGATTATTGCGTATAATGATTTTCCCATCAGAGCCGAGGATGTGCGTTGTTGAGCATTGATGCCACACCAACTTTACAGGCAAAGGAAAGACTTTTTCTTGATCAAGGATGGCAGGTATTTGCACATTGTGGTGATACATGCAATTCTCATAAAATGAATGATGTATAAGCTGCATGAGTAGTTTTGTACCTTTACTAAGTTAGTGAGTAATTTTTCTAAACAAGTTGATAAAAAATTTGTAGTCCTTGCTTGTTTTCTGTAGCATTCCCATGGCTACAAAAGTTTGCATCTTTACATTTCTTGTTTTAAAAATTCCGTTGTGCTTGTGCATGTGTGTGTATGTGTTTTTTTTTTTTTTTTTTTCTTTTGCTATCTTCATGTCTTAACTTTGATGCTTTCGGAACTTCTGATGTCTTATCCCTGTATCTGTGAGATCCTTTAGAGGGCTGCTGCCTGGGACATGGTGAAGGTTTATAGCGCATTCATTGAGTCACAAGAAAAACGCAGGTATACATTTTAAACAGCAGAAATAAAGTGGAAGTTGTAGCAAACACTGCTATTTTACCCATCTTTTTACAATGTAAACCAGAGGTGCCTTCTGTCAATGACTTATTACTGGTTGTGAATGTTAAAAGGTTCTTTAGGTCATCATTATAATTGTTGGTATGCTGTTATTTCAATTTTTTAAGTCCAAACTGAAGAGACTAATTAATGGCATGCCTGTGGTAGACGCCAAGCAAAACTTCATATTATGAATTTATGATAATATAATGGCGGATATGTGGTACATATAGTCAATTGGTGAGTAAGAACATAATGCACTCTTTGATTAAATGTGCATTGCTGCAAAGGTTTAGCAATGGCAGCTTTTTGGGATAATGGCAGCCATTGCAACAATGCTTTTGTGTTGCTTTTCCAGATGGCATTACAATATCTTGATGAATATATTTACACATATTTAGGGGGGGGGGGGGGGGGGGGGTGTACGGGAGTGGTGGAGCTCTTAGTGCAAGTAGCTAGCAGCACTAGGTGGTTCCTATGGCGGGGGTTGGGATTAATGTTGGCTTCTTCCTGTTATTCAATGAAGCTAAATGCTTGCCAGGGTTCCTATAGTGTATGATTTTTTCCCTTTCTAGTTATCTTTTGTATTTAGAATGGTGCCATTATCGTTTTAAAATATGATTTTGTCTTCTAGTATTCTAGTTGTAATATTACTGTATTAACAGTGCTCTCTTAATTGTCGCAATAGGTAATAACAATTGGTTTTCTGAAATCATTTATATGCTTGTCCAATTTATATTGCCTGCTTGTTTATCTTTTGCACTACCTCTCTAAAAGCTATTTTCTCTTATGTGGACTCCATTGTATGATCGATATGTTGTGGGAAATTTCTGGCATTGTCTCTACTACCATTTTTGTAGTGGGAAGTTGATCGAATAGAAGTGTGTGCTTAAATAAGATATATGTGATGCAGTGTGAAATTTCTTTAATTGAGAAAGTAGAAGTTGTGCTAGCCAACTATATTTGTCTCGTCTGTTGCAAGTTGAACTTGTGCTTATTGAGTTTGAACTGATAGGAAAGTGTTGGAAGTATTGTTTTTGTAATACGATCTTTTACTATATATATGGCGTTCTTTCATTACTTCAATGGTAAAATAATCCTTTTCATTTTTAGCACGAGCTTTGGAAATGTCATTATAGAAATCAATCACTGAATGTTTCTCTTTTTTACTGGATCAAGGGTGCATACACATTTTCCATTTATTAACATTTTGTTTTTCACGAAGGCCATGTATTTCACTATCCTTCTGAATTCATTTTTACTTTGAATAGGATTGAACGGCTGGAATTGTTCGATGAGTTCGAAGAATGGTACATGATGCAGGCAAGTATCTAACTAACCTTCTATTGTGACCAAATAATTCGATTGGAAATTTCTGCATTAGTGTAAGTGCTTGATACTAGTGCTATATACTTGCCTATGCATCCCCTGAAAAGATGGAGACCTTTCAACGTGTTTGGTATTATGCTCGAATTTTGTTTAAGGCTTTTGATCTGATAATAATTTTTCTTGCTGCTCGAACACAGCCATCCATGTGCTTTCTTTTGGTGAAGTAATTTTGATTATTCTCTACTTTGTAATTTTGAAGATCTGTCTACTTATTTCATATCTAAACATTTTTTCTAATTCTTGAAATCACTCATTTTCAGGAGCACTACTGTGTGACTTGTGCAATAAACGATTCACTGGTATGCCATACATATGTTCCGGGGACATCACTCATATAATAATATAATGCACCAAACGTGTGAATGTGATCGAAAAAACTAAAATGAAGATGTTGCTCATTGCTGAAGCTTGCTTGCTGTTTCAGGGTGCATTCAAGAATTTCGGGTTTTTCAAAGAGGAGACAGGAGTCGATGCATCGGTATCAACCGCCCATGGTCAAGAATGATCTGAAGAAATAGATCTTCCGAAACAGACGGACACCTTGTTGAGCATACTATACTTACTTACGGCTTCCACCAAACTTTATTCGAGTTTTCGGTGATGTGTGTGTGTATGATTGGAATGAATCCAAGCTTATGTTTGCAATTGTTATAACTTGTGCTCAGAAAAGTCTTGGATTGTTGTGTTGTAGACTAGTGATCCTTTAAAGGAAATGAAAATGAGAATTTCTGTCACTTGTATTTGATACCTCAAATCTTATTCATTGGCTCATGCCATTGACCTGACCTGTTGTGTTTTTGGTTGGGGTTGGGGTTGGGAATAATAAAATTTTAAATTCAAATAGTTATTTGATGCTATGTAAATTAGAAAATGATTTTTATTATTATTATTATTTTTTGTAATATAAAAAAATAAAAATTATATGTTTGATTTAGAGAGTGGTTGGTTAGCATATTGATTGTGCTAGCTGAAATTATTTGTTCAATGAAATTATGTGGTAAGTAACATATTTTATGTGAATGAAGTTTTGTCATTTGTTATTAGTTAATCGTTTATTTATATCATATTAATATATCTTATTTTATTTATTCAATTGATGTGAGGGATATATTTTTATTTATTTATTTTTTTTTTAAAAAAAATGTAGTAGTGTGGAGCCAATCCCATACACGCTTATGATTTACAGTTATCTGAAAGATGCGAGGGATAGGTTAACTAATTGGCAAATTTTCAATGCCCTTTTCTATTCATTACATCAGTATTACAACAAAAAATTGCATTTGCAAGTGAATCATCATCCATCACACACAGACACATCTCTATAAATATATGCATCAGTAAACCATTGTCGAGACATTTTTTTTATAAAAATTTGAAGGTTTGAATATTGACTTAAATAATAATTTTACATAACATTTTATAAGTAATAAAAAATATATTCTTCTTTTAAGAAAAAAAAAAAAGGAACAAAAGACTAATTCAGCACTTTCTTTCTTGTTTGCTCTATGCTTTCGGGTTTTGCCAAAAAATCCATCGACAGACAACAACAAAATGGTTCATCAAAATCAAATAACCCACAACACAAACCACTATTAAATAAATAAATTACTCCCCCTAAATAATAATCATAATAATCATACCTGTACAACACAGGAAAAATAATCCTACTACATATATATATATATAGAGAGAGAGAGAGAGAGAGAGATTTCTTTTTGTAAAATACTAAAAGAACTCAAAGTCCAGAAATTTACCAGCCCCAGGTTTGATATCATCTGTTGTTCCTCCTCCTCCTCCTACCCTTTTGCTTCCGCCGCCTACTTCAGCTCCTCCCCCACCTCCACCACCCACCCCTACTTGCCGGAACTTCGCCGGAAACTCGGCCTCGACCGGCCTCGGAACTTCCGGCGGTGTACTGCACCGTATCAGCGCCCAATTAACCCCTTCGAAGAAGGCATGCTGCTTGATCTCCGGCGCCCCTCGTTTCACTCCCAGTCTATTCTGCGGCTCCTTCACCAGCAGCCCCCGGATAAGGTCGCGGCTCGCGTAACTCGTCGCCGGAGATTCCGGAAACTTCAACTGCTGCCCTACCACATTGAACAGCGTCGCCCGGTTCCCCGAACCTTTGAACGGCGTTTTCCCGTAGAGCAGCTCGTGTAAGAATATCCCGAATGTCCACCAATCCACCGCGCTGCCATGGCCTTCGCCTTTGATGATTTCCGGAGCCAAGTATTCGTGCGTTCCGACGAACGACATCGACCGCGCCGCCGTAGGCTCCGCCACTAGCTCCGGTAGAGTGCTCGATGCCCCTCCCGACTCAGCCCGCGATTTTCCCGATTTTTTCTTTCCCTTTTGCGGGAAGATTCGTGGTAGGAAACACGTTGGCTGCATGCATGCAGATGTTGGCTCCATGCACGCCGGCTGCACGCAGAATGCAGCTCCTCGTTCCGAGCCGAGCACCGAAGATCGAATCAGGGTTGGCGAAACCGCGCACCTAAGGGAAAGGTCAAAATCGGAGAGCATAATGTGGCCGTCGTCGCGGACGAGAACATTTTCGGGTTTGAGGTCTCGGTAGACGACTCCGAGCATGTGTAGGTACTCTAGCGCCAATAGAACTTCCGCGGCGTAGAATCTACAATCGCAAGAATACGAACATTTGATCGATCGAAGATGAAGATGATGAAGATTTGCTCGCTAACATTAAAATATACTAAAGCTGTTAAACGAGCCGAACGAACTCGAGTATTGGTTGTTCGAGCTCGACTCAAATTTATTAACAGTACAAGCTCGGCTCGTCAAGAATTCGAGCCAAAATAATGGCTCGAGCTCGGCTCGTAAGGCTCAAACTAAGCTCGTGCTCGGCTTTAATTTTATACATATTTTATATATTCTTTAATATATAACTTAAATATATTTAATTTCATTACTAATTTATTGTAATAAAATATTCAAATTTTATTAATAAATACATTTTGATATAAAAATTATATATATTATTATTATATTATATATAAATAATATAAATCTATTATCACGAACGAGCTCAATTGAACTTTCTGCGAGTTGAGCATGAGCTCGGCTCATTTATTTCTATAAATGACCCGAGTCGGGCTGTTAACGAACTGGGTCGAGCTTAATTGGCGAACTACTCGATTCGTAACAGCTCTAAAATAAAAACTCAAGAATCGTAACGAAGTTTATATTCGCATACCTCGCCGCATATTCGGAAAAATGTTTCCCAGGCTGCCGCTGCCTCAAGGTATGGAGGTCGCCGCCGGGGCAGTATTCCATGACTAAGCAACAAAACCGGTCCGTCTCGAAATGAGTGTAGAGCGTCGGCAAGAACGGATGATCGAGTAACTGCAAGATTTCCCGTTCGGTTTGAGCCCGATTCAGCTTGTTCCTGCTGGTGAGCGACGCCTTGTCCATGACCTTCATCGCAAAGAAACAACGGGTCGAGCTCAACTCGGATAAATACACGCTTCCGATGTCCCCACAGCCTAGTCGTCTCAGTAGCTTGAAATGGCTCATTCCCAAAATACCGTCGCGCGTTCGAACAGCGAGTATAGCTTTCCATCGAGGATCGTTCCCTTTGTGAGGCTTATTCGCGCTACTTGTTAGGTTACTCCAATTACTGTCGTCGCTGAGCCCGCTGCTGTCGCTCACTCGGCTAAGACTCGTCTTTGTACTCTCGAGAGAATCCCCTCGAATGCTTCCTTTCATTATACTCTCGTAGTTTCTGTCGACGCTAATATTTCCGTCGCTCGTTATTGCGTCGCTTCGGTACGTGCTGGCACAGCTATTGGCTATGCTCATTGCTCGAGCGACTCCGACGCTGTCGATGCTACTATGAGGACTGACATTTCCGCTCGGCGGCAATGAAGTGTCCCATACGCATTCCTTGTCCTCCGAATCCATGATTGGGCTCGACGTCGCTTCTAAATTTTGCGACTGACGAGAAACCGCAAATGGCGATACAACAGCTGCAGCCAAGTCATGAGGCTCTAAAACCAAGCTCTCGGTTGGCGAAGGTAACGACGACGGGGTTTGCTTTACACTTTGTGGTAATCGGATCGAAAGATCGTCGAGAAAAGGACCCTTCTTCGACATGCTTTTGACCAAGCATTTCCCGTCCCCATTATCAATAGGTACATACACTGGCCTCATCATGTCTGTGTCGACAGGCTCGGGGGGATGACTCACGCCGTGGAACGAAGTCGAACCATTCTCCTCAAACGAATCACAACCGACTTTAAATGAAAGAACATCGGGAAGTTCTTCATCATCATCCTCCTCTAAAAATTTCTTCCCTTTCCAAGCTTGACTCGGAAGGCGAGATTCGGAGACTTGAGGCTCTTGCAATTTGAATGGTTTCGTGATCTCTTCTTTTAGAAAAGCAGGTCGATGATTCTTCGACATCTTAGAAGCTATGATGAATTGCCGGGGGACGGGATGCGATTCCGGTATCTTTTCCATGTCCAATTAATCTCTTTGTATCATCACAAAGCTATTCTGTCTTCATTAGATGCTCTGAAGGACAAGAAAATACACCTCACAATCAATTATCATACTAAATTTGCTTCACACACAAAACAAATCTATTAACTGATAATGAAAGATCCAAATGAACAAACAAAATTAAATCTCACAACAAAAAAGGCTTGGGAATATTAATAATCTCAAAACTGACAATACTAAATCTTAGATTCCAGTAAACTCGTAATTTCAAGCATCTCTAACGGAAAATATCTTAATTGCAAAAGAACAAAAATAACAACCTTCAAATTACCACTTTCAGCGAAGAAAGAACTCAACAATGGTTGAATTACCATTTCAGAACCAAAAATTCGTACAGAACGACTGAAAGCCTGTAACAATTTACCAAAACACTTCCAGCTTCTTCAATTACTTTCCGATTTGTGTTTTAAGAACAAAATTCACTCACAAACGCACAATTGAACATCAACAGATGCATAAGCACGAATTCCACACAAAAATTTGGAGAAAATCCATCAAAGTAGAAACTCATTTGCTCCGATTCCACGCAACTATCACAACCGAATAGATTCGAGGTAAGAAGCATTATTCAACCGAGCAACAAAAAACAATCAAAACACAATCTCCATACCAAAAAATCCAAAGCGCAACCAACGCAGCGGCGGCAATAACACAAAATCCGCCGCAACACAGCTTCACGGAGAAGAAATCAACGATTCCTTCACTCCGGAACACGAAAATGGCGATGAATCGCAAAGATAGGCCTCGAACAACAAAATTACTTGCAAATCAAACATAAACTGAAAAAAGTAGGGGACAAGGCGACATCCGGAGCTACTCTTTGTTGAAAAATTGCAGCATCGGCAGAAAAGGCGAGCAGGAATTTGGTTGAATGGATTCACTTTGAGGAATTTGGAATGGATTTGGAGAATTTGTGGAAGATTGGAGAGTGTGTGAAGCTTTTTTTTGGCTTTTCTTTTTTCAGTGATTTCTCTCTCTCTTTCTATTCTTTTTGGGGCTTTGGGCGCTTTAGTCATGTTTACTGTGATGACTGCTACTGCTGCAAAAGAAACCTGGAAAGTTCGGGAGGTCCAGGGTGTCGGGGTTCAGTTCTGGCTGTTTATGCCGTTGATTGTTGGTGGCGCAGGAAATGGACGGTGATGATTGACTGGGCGTTGAGGTCCTGAGGCTTCCTAGGAAGGAGGTAATTGAAGTAGACAGAGCAAAAGCAATTTTGCCCATGTTGAGTTTGGTGAAAAGACGAGACTACCCCTCTGTGTATAGCGACTTTTATCAAGGAAATTAATTTAAAATGATGGGGTGTGTTGACTGTTTGTATTAGTACTTATACTTCATCCATCCGATGTTAGTACGGTTTTTTATTTTTATTTTTCCTTGAATCTTATATACAACTCATTTTAATAAATACTCCGTAGATACGGAAATTAAAATAAAATATAATTAAAAAATTTATTAATTAAAATTAAAATAATTAATAATTTAATTAATATTAAAAAAATTGTAAATTATAAAATTTAAATTATGATTAACATGTATAATTATATTTTTTAAAAATAACAAATTATGTAGAATGATCGAAAATAAAAACAAAATATGTGGGACGGAGTTTTACTACTTTTTCTCCCATAAAAATTTCTAATTGTAGATATAAAAATTTAAGAGGTGTATAATAATTATTATTGTATAATACAAATAGTTATAAATTAAAATTAAAATAACCAAATGAGTTAATTAAAATTAAAAAAAAATTATAAATTATGAAATTTAAAATAAAATTTAAATGTATAGTTATTTTTCAAGAAATGAAAAGAACAAATCACATGGGACTGACTGAAATTGGAAAAAGTAATGCTCCCTCCGTCCCATAATAAAATATCCATTTTTTCATTTTAGTCTGTCTCATAATAAAGTATCCATTTCCTTTTTTAATAACTGTACTGTCTACCTAACATTACAAATACTCTTACAACTTACAATATATTACAAAAATACCATTACTTTTATATCACAAATACTAATAAGGTTATTTTAGTCATTTTTACTTTATTTCTACTATATCCCAAAAGTAAATGAATATCTAGTTATGGGACGAAAGGAGTACGTAGGAAGTATTATTTTTTTTTAGCTTAAACATCATTTTTTATCAAAAATTTTTGATACATTTTATATTATATTTTATTTGCTTTTTATTTATTCATTTTTATATTAAAATATTATTATTTTTAGTATTTGTATCCATATAAAATAATATAATTATCCCGACAAGAAAGTATTATTTTGTTACATTATCAAAAATTAATTATTTTATTAATATATTTTTAATAGGATATACCTCCTGTCCATTGCAAAAATAACAGATTCCGTTTTGCATAGAAATTTTAAAATATTAATATTATATAAATAAATAGAATAATAAAAATCTAATTTTGTCTTTAAACCTAATTTTTTTTATTTAATAACATTCTTTATCATATTTTATAAAATATAGAAGTATTTTTTTATTAAAGTAAAAAATACAATTACTGATTAAATAAGATATATTGATAATAGATAGATTAAAATAGTAAAATGTACATTGAAATGAACAGAGGTGGTGTATTATATATATATATATAATATTATATTAAAATATTATTTAAATAAAAATAAATAAAAAATTTAAAATTCAAACACAAATTGAATTAATCCTTATTATAGAAAATTTTATGTATTTGTGGAGTTCATGCATTTTTCCTAGTAGATACATGTGATGCGACTATAATATAATAATAATATTATATAGTATCTTCTTTTGATTATAAGCATTTTATTTATTTTTTTTGTATTACATTTATTAATATTAATTATTATATCAAAATATAGTATAAATTAAAAAGAAATTATAAAAATATTTTTATTAATGTCTTATAATATTAATAAAAGGATATTTGTACAAAAAAATTATACAAATATAAAAATATATTTAATGTTAAGTACAATGATGCAAAACGTAAATGTAAAACTTAGAGGGGAATAAAGAAAGTATAAAATTATTTAATTTTTAATTTAAAAAAATATTATATTTTAATGATAGTGGACGTTAGTTTTTGTCAATAAATATATCCTTATAATTAAAAAAGTGGGTGTAATGGTGTTAATATAAATAAGGATAAAAGTTATGATACGTGTAACGGGGCGGCGGCTACGGTGTTGCCAGCACACTGCAAACATACGGTATGCCATTCAGACAGAACACAGTATTATTACAAACAACGCACCGTATGCATTTATATAACACACTTGTAATTATGAACTAACAAAACAAATACAACACATGAACTAACCGCACATGTTATAGTCTTATACAACATAAATAATAGTTGATTTCAGCACACCATATAATGTTATACAACATACTTGTAATTATGAACTAACTACACCTGTCTTTATTATATACCGCATGTGTTGTATATAATAAGACTGTCTGTTGTATATCTTACGAATGTTGATTTAAAATCAGCAGAGTGCTAATTTTTTCAATTTAGCAACCTAACCGTTTTATGTGTATCGGTGGTAGAGTACAAAATCACTAAAAAAAAAATTGAAATGACTGTTTTGCAATTAGATAATCTAAAATAAAATTATAGATAAATATATATTGTATTTTTTAATAATATTAATAGGAAATATTCCGAATTTTTTTGTTAGATAAACAATTTTTTTTTTTAATGGACAAAATTACTATGATTAAAACTAAAATTAAAATAAATGATTATATATTTTTTTTAACTAGTCATATTTATATTTATTGTGTTTGACAATTAGTTTTTAATTTTAAATAATTAGATTCAATTTGTTTTTAATTGGTAGTTTATTTAATTAGTTGATTCAACTAAATAGATATATATATCAGTTATTTACATGTGAAGTACCAATTAATGATATTTTATATTCCCTTTGTTATAGATATGTGTATAATTAATAAATAATGAAAATAATTATTATTTAATAAAAATAATTTTAAATTAAAATTAAAATAACTAATTAGTATAATAAAATTTTAAAAATTTTAAAATTAGATTAAAATGTATAATATTTTTCCAAAAAAGAAAAATGACAGAATAAGTTGGAAAAACGAAAATAAATATGTGGATACAATAAGATAAGTAGGACGGGGGAAGTATTTTATTTTAAAATATTCAATTATATTTTTTAGTGTGTATGACGTTTTTATAATTTTTATTATTAGTTATTTGAAATTATAAAAGTATTATTAAAAAAATTGTTTTTACTATTTTTTATATATTTTTTGATAAAATTAATATTTTTTTTATCCGTTAAAAATAGCTCATTAAGATATGGTACGAAAAAAAATAAAAAATTAGTGAGTAATTAATAATGACGAAATATAAAATGTAATTATTATATTAACAATTGTATTGAATAAGCTTTGAGTAAAATGTAATAGTTAAATTTAAAAATTTTTATTTTGCTAAAATTAGTAATGAATTAAATTTAGTCGAACAAATTAAAAAAAAATGCATAAATTTGACAGACGAAAAAATATATATTTTATCGAAAAGTATAAATAAATTTTTTTACTAAAAATAGTTTAAAATATAAAAAATAATTTATCCATACATATATTTTCATTATATTAATTATTGTCTAATTTTTTATTTATGCTATTTTTTTTTTTTTTAATAAATTTTGTAATATATAAATATATACTCCATATAAATAAATTAATAATATTTTTATTTTTATTTATCTTAATTAATAAATTTAAATAGTTTACAAATAAAGTAATACTCCCTCCGCCCCATAGTCCCATTTTGCGTTATTGTACTTAATATTAAAAATATTTATTATATTTACATAATTTTTGTACAAATATCATTATTTTAGTATTATAAGACACTAACAGAAATATTTTTGTCATTTTATCTTGATTTATAATATATTTTGATATAATAATTACTATTTAAAGATCAACAATGAATATCTTGTAATGGGACGGACGGAGTAGAATAGATATAAAAAAGAATAATAATTCAATTATTTAATTTTTAAAAGTAAAATAATACTTCATATGTCCACATAATTTGTCTATTCTTCTATTTTCGGTCTGTTTTACATAATTTATTATTTTTCAAAAAAATATATAATTATACACTTTAATCTCATTTTAAAATTCATAATATATATTTTTTTTTATTTTAAATAAACTATTTAGTGATCTTAATTTTAATCTATAATTATTTTTATTAACATACTTTTTAATTATTTACTAATTATATAATACCTAAAACTTCATGTCCTAATTAAAATGGACAAATTAACTGGATGGAGTGAGTATTAATATATGGTTTTGAAGGAGATGATTAGTACTAATTTAACAACAAATAAGAAAATAAATTAAGTAGGAAAAAAAAAAAAAACTGTTATGAAACATTGGATATTACTCCCTCCGTCCAGCTACGAGTATACATGTTTCTATTTTGGGACGTCCAATTATAAAGTAAACATTTCATTAAATACCTTACTTTTTTCCACAAATACCCCTATTTTACATCACATCATTACTTTTACACCAAAAAGCAAGGGCAAAAATGTCATTACACTACTTTTAACTACCTATTATAATTAAAATACTATTATTTCTTAAACACCGCGCCAAAAGTAATTGTATACTTTTTTTGTGGACGGAGGGAGTATTATTGTTTTATAAATTAGAGTCTAGCTTAAAAGATTTTTTCAAAAAGTTTATTTACCAAATATTTTATTAATTGTTTAATTCGTTAAACTGTCAAAATTATTGAACAAGCTAAAAATTATTTAACGACTTAATTATTGAACGTCTTACTAAGAAAATTGTGATGGTTGGTAATAGAAGTGTAATTACTTTGAATTTTTGTTTAAATTGTATTTTAATTTGATATTTTATGAAAAAATAATAATATAATTTTATTAAAAACAGTACACAGTAAATAATATTGATTTTAA